TGTGTTTAGATCATATCCCATTAGGAACGATTATTTATATTTGCGTATTTTTAATTGCAAGGTAGATAAAAGCTTAAAAAGCAAGCGAGATAAAAACAATAGTTAAAATTTCGGCAAATCCGCGTTACTAGCATTGGCTATTCGGATATTAATAATTTTAACACCAAATATTTATTGTTGAGATTACAAAAAATATGAATAAATTTCTTCAGTAAAAAAAATGTATTGTAGATACGCGGTATAATCCAATGCTAGTTACGCGGTTTTGCACTATTTCCGACAATTTTGTTTTCTAAATGACATTGAAGTGTTATTAAATTTACCTTAAATAACGGTGCTATTTAATAAAAATATAGAATAACAATAAACAAAACTAACAATGAGTAATGTTTAAAAATGATTTGAGTACCAAAAATGCACTATATACTGCTTAAAATAACGATCTCTAATTTTAAACAAACTTTTTTAGGGTAAAATCATCAAATCATGGCCGCTTAATTTTAAACTGCTTCGTGTTACCGCGAATCGCTTAGATTCTTAAAAATATTTCTAAACTCTTAAAAAACCTCTTGAGATACAATTTATGACAAGTTTGGAAGTTTTTGTTAATAAGTTAACAAGTTTTAGCACAAATATTAGAAGGCGTGAAAAACATCAAATCTTGGCCAGAGATCCAAAACATGGCCATTGCAAATTTATTCCTGGCCATTAAGTTTTACAAAGTAAAAATAGTGATAATACTTTTAAATTTAAATTAAAAACAAAAGAAATTAATTGTAAAGAGTTTAAAAAAAGAAGTTCTGCATAAATTTTTACTCATATAAATTTAGTTCTTTTTTTAACAGGTAAACAAACAATAGATTTTAAAGCGCTTCACAACATTTAATGTTTTCAAATTAGCAAATGTCTTCAAATAAATAAAAACGGCTTCAAGCCGTTTAAGTGCTTCGAGCGGGAACGAACCCGCAACCTTTGGTTGCTCTAACCACTGCACCACGGCTGCTAAAATCTAATAATAATCATTTCATTTATATCGTATCTATACTCTAAACCCGAATGGTTCTTCAAAAAATCTTTAAGGGTTCTTCGTGTTGACGCTGGTGGAGAGCTCACAGTGTTATAAAATAGGTTCTAACCTTAACTTTCTGACCCGGGAAAACCCTTTGGCGGAATGATAGCCCTTACTATGGGGATCACTTAGATATAAGTATCAAAATCAGATTACAACGTCCTGGCAAGTTATTTACATTTGAATTTTCATCCTAGTTAACACAAAACGTGTTTTAAACGTTTAATATACGTATTGATACGTGTTAAAACGTATTATAAACGTGTTAAACACGTCTTGCGTTTAATAAAATACTTTATTGATTGCACAAATATGCAATATGAGCGCTTATTTTCCTTTTTGTAGTATTAAAAATCTCCAATTTACATAAATATAAACAAGGAAAGCAAAATAATATATTCTTGAAGTTATACAAGTAACAAACATAAAATATATTGATTGCACAAACATGCGGAATGACAGCTTATTTTGCATTTCTACATACCAAAACTATGATTAGTTTGTAAAAACTGCTTTAATTGATATGAAACGTATTTAATTATGACATAAATTATTTTGGAATAAATTTCTACTTTTGAATTCTGGGTAAAAGCACGTTGTTTTTACTTTACTAATGAGAGCTAAACTGAGCACATCTAATTTTACCGAAAATGCCAAATACTGCTAAAAACCACCAAGAATGCAGGAAATCTGTTTGTTTTCTTTGTTTTAGTAAAAGTCAACGAAAGCTAACATCAAATCTAAAAGAAAGATGTCAGATTATACTGAAAGAGAAAATCAACTTTAATGATGACAAAGTTCCACTTGGAATATGTGAAAAATGTCGCTCTTGTTTAAGAAGGAAGGAAAGTGGAGAAGACATCACACTCCCATCATTGTATAAGTTTGAGACTATAAAACTTCGACCAGAAACTCGAGACTCTCACTGTAACTGCTTGATCTGTTCAATTGGTAAACTGAGACACAATGGTCAAATGAAAATTGAATTCGCACAAAGTTCAGCAACTAGAACACCTTCTTTAACAGTAGAAAAAAGATGCTCAGACTGTTTTTCAATTATTGGTCGAGGATTGCCTCACAACTGCACAAAAGGCACTTTGAGAAATAATCTTGTTGCTGTAGTAACAAAGGATCCTTTGGCATCAGAAAGAATTGCAGCTCTTGTTGTTTCAAATAAAGCTCCTTCTCCACATGGAACTGTTCGATTAAGTCAACTTTATGGTGGAAGAATGCTTCCAGTAACACCAAGTATAAATTTTATATAGTTTTTTATAGTTCAAATTAATGATAAGTTAAATTTTTAACTTTTTGTATTCACTATAGGTTCGTCATCAGCTAGACAACTTTTCTCTTCAAATTCATCAATAAGTGTAAAAGACCTTGCTAAAGTTCAAGCAAACACAGGGCTTTCAAACAATGGCATTAAGAGGTTAGCAGCTACTATTAATCAGTCAACCTCACAACAGATTGTTGAAAAAAATTACGCCATAAAATTTGACAAATTCAGCAAGCAACTTGTACATCATTTCACAAGTTCATTAATTCAAGATCACGCTGGATGTGTGAGGACAGTCATACATTGCAAGAACTTCCATGAGCTTAAAAATGAAATTATAGCCATGAGAAGTACATCAAAAAATCACATTGTAAAGGTTGGAATTGACGGAGGAGGTGGGTTTCTGAAAGTTACCCTGGGAATTATTGAATTAAATCATGAACCTTGCATTCCCCCAGCAAAAATCAACTGCACAAGCAAGGTTTTTAAGGACACTGGTGTAAAACAACAACTAGTCATTGCTGTCTGTGAGGAGCTTCAAGAAAGTTATACTAACGTTTTGCAAGTATTTGAGTTGATTAAATTGAAAGACCAGGAGTTTGTCATGTCCTGTGATCTAAAACTTGCTAATATAATTTGTGGGCTTCAAGCACACTCAAGTGCACATCCCTGCACCTGGTGTGAATCTGGTTCAAAAGAACTTGTAAATCAAGGGAAATTGAGGACTTTTGAATCTCTGGAAAAAAATGTCTCACTCTTCAAGTCAGCTGGTTCCAATATTAGAAAAGCTCGTGACTATAAAAATGTTGTTCATTCTCCAATATTTAAACTACCTTGAGACACTTTGGTTTTGAATTTTCTTCCTCCCATGGAATTGCATCTCTTAATTGGAGTTTTTAATCATCTTTTTGCTGCGCTGCTTCAAGTTTTTCCTCGAGTAACTCTTTGGTCTGATGCATTACACATTAAACAACAACCTTACCATGGTGGACATTTTGCAGGAAATGAGTCCAGAAAGCTGCTACACAATATTGATATTCTTCAATCAATTGCTGAGAAACACTCATGCTATGCAGCCATCCCATTCATTGATGCTTTTCGAAAATTCAATGCGGTAGTATCTGGCTGTTTTGGGTGCAACCTTAATCCAAACTACCCACAAATAATTGAAGCATTCAGAGTGTCTTATCTGGCATTGCAAAATGTGTCTGTAACACCCAAGGTCCATGCAGTATTTTTTCATGTAAAAGATTTCATCGACAGATATGGCCAGGCTCTTGGGCTTTACTCAGAACAGGCAACAGAAGCAATGCATCACAACTTTCAGATACATTGGCAAAGGTACAAAAGACCCAATCATCATCCAGAATACAGTAAGAAGTTGCAATGTTGCATTGTTGACTTCAATACTAAACATTGTTTGTGAAAAGTCATTTTAAGAAGGGATTTGAGAATAAGTTGTTTTTGAATTTGTTCCATTTAAAAGAAACTTTTTTTCTGAATATATTTTATGTTTGTTACTTGTATAACTTCAAGAATATATTATTTTGCTTTCCTTGTTTATATTTATGTAAATTGGAGATTTTTAATACTACAAAAAGGAAAATAAGCGCTCATATTGCATATTTGTGCAATCAATAAAGTATTTTATTAAACGCAAGACGTGTTTAACACGTTTATAATACGTTTTAACACGTATCAATACGTATATTAAACGTTTAAAACACGTTTTGTGTTAACTAGGATGAAAATTCAAATGTAAATAACTTGCCAGGACGTTGTAATCTGATTTTGATACTTATATCTAAGTGATCCCCATAGTAAGGGCTATCATTCCGCCAAAGGGTTTTCCCGGGTCAGAAAGTTAAGGTTAGAACCTATTTTATAACACTGTGAGCTCGTAGAGGTTCTTCAAAGAACCCTTTGCGAAGGCTCTTCGGAAGAACCTTAAACTAAGGTTCTTTAAAGAACCCGTTATAGTTTTTTAACGAACCGTTCAATATTTTTGCATTATTACTTCGTTGCACGGATACTTTTTTGACTTCTTGAACATTTTTTATTATCTGATATTTATATAATATATAACTATTTAATAGATTTTTAATATTTAATTATAATTATTTAAGATATTTAAGCTAGTTACTTAAGGCCAAAATAGAAATGCAAATAACGACTTTCCTAAGTATTTTACATATATTTCAAAATATGGCAATAAAGAAAAAAAAACTTTTTTTAAACAATTGATATAAATATTTTTAAAAAATTAACAAAAATAAATTTTATTTTACAATCCAATATATCTATGTTTATAAAAATATATCATCAATTATAAAAAAGGTTTTCTAGTGTTAAATCCACTGTCCAATATATAAATGTTTTTGCTTGAAATTAGCTGTACGAATAAACATGAGATTTCTGAAGTCGCATTCGTTTGAAGAATTATCTAAAATTCAATAATGAAATATATATATATATATATATATATATATATATATATTCATTAGAGAGAGAGAGAGAGTGAGAGAGAGAAATAACACAATAGATAATATTGTACAATTCATTATTTGTAATGCAAATCAATTTTGAATAAAGATTTATATGTATATATATATATATATATATATATATATATATATATATATATATATATATATATATATATATATATATATATATATATATATATATATATATATATATATATATATATATGCTTGTAAGTCTTGTCCAAAAAAGGCTTGTTAAAGTGAAATTCGATCTCTTTTCGACCACGATGTTGAATGCACGATGGAGTGCAATTAGTAGATAAGATATCTATTGCAAAATGCTTAAATAATCAATTTTTTAAAACTTTTTCATCACCTGAAACTCAAATACAATTTATAAACACATTTCTTTTTTTCAAATTTCAAAGTATAAATATGAAGACAATCTTCAATGTAGGTATGAGAACTTATGATTGTGCTCTCATTAAGTTAGTAGACAGAAAGGAGCCTGCTCGTTTAAACATCTCATATTCCATTTTGAGTCAAATGACTTGCTGTCAGACAATCAATACAGTTTTCGATCCTCTCGCTCATCGATTTGCTATCTGGCTAACTACTGTGACTGAAAGATTGTGCATTAGATAAAGGCTGAGAGGCAAGGGCTATTGCTCTTGACATATCTAAGGTTTTCAACAAAGTTTGGCATGTTAGTCTTCTCCATAAGCTTGATTCATATGGTGTATCTGGAAGAGTTTTTGAGATTATCAAATCGTTTCTTTGTAATGGTTTTATAAAGCTCATCATCAAAAGCCAACACTCTTATTCATTTCCAGTAACTTCTGGGGTACCTCAAGGTTTTATTCTTGGTCTTGTTTTGTTTCTAAATTATTCTATCTAAATTATTAATTTTTCCAGCAACATTACATATAAGGTAACTCTTTTTGCTGATGACTCAACTTTATACTCCTGTCTTGACAAAAAGTCTTCTGTTTTAGATTGCTTAGAACAGGCAGCCAATCTTGAATCTGATCTCACTTCTTCGTGCTCATCATTTCATCTCTCCTGATTCCATTCTTCACCTCTACTAATCTCTTATTAGCCCCTGTATGAAAAACTGTTGTCATATTTGGGCTGGCTCTTCTTATGATGCTCTTTCTTTTCTAGATGAAAAATGCATTGTAAATATAGTTGGACTTGGTTTATCTTCTAAGCTCAAGCCTCTTTCCCATCATCTTAAAGTTAGATCTTTCTCTTTTCTACAAATACTATCATGGTCACTGCTCTAAGAAGCTTTTATCTCTAGTTCCACACACTTTAAAGCTCTTTCAACCCTTAAAACTATCTATCTTTTTTCAAACCTTTGGAGCTCTCTCTCGTCTTCATGTTTTCCTGACTCATACAAACTACATCTTTTTAACTCTTCTGTTAACCGTCTCCTTGCTCTATAACTATATTATTTTTTTCTAGTAACTCCCAACTTAATAGTGGTTGCTTGCAGCCTTGTTAGGAGTGAATCAGAATAAAATAAAAAAATCATGATGGTAACCATGTATTTAGACTCAATATAGGTACAGTCATCTTGTAGTATATATGTATCAAGCAGTTGATAATCACAAACTTCATTTGGTAAACATATTGGCAAAGATTCATACTCTTTAACTCTGAATGCATGCATATGTGCAAAATAAATATATGTGCATATATGCATATGTCACAAAGTAGCAGCTTACCGCAAAATAACCAGAGTTGTCATAATTAAATAATATTTTGAAAAACAAAGGAATTTCATCAGTTTTTAATAAAGATAAAAAAAATGTATTGTACAAATGAAACTGAATCCAACTTATATTACTAGCATTACATTTACAAATAGTTTCTTTTTTTATCAAAAACATCATTGACAACAGTGAACTCCTGATACCTTGAACCCCGGATAACTCGAAAAACTTTCGAGTTCCCCTTGAGCCCTTACTAACACTTTCTTATAAAAATCACTCGATAACTCAAGCCCCTGATAACTGGAACATTCACCTGATAAGTCAAACTGTTTTATTTGTCTCAGTGGCTGATATTTTACCTATAACTTGATCTTTAAAAGAAAAATAACACAACGTCTTATTAAAGTGATTAATTTTTTTTATGAAATCAAATTCATTTGATTTTCTGCATATCACTCAAAAGAAATATTTTGACATATTGAATGTTCCGATAACTCAAACATTCTCTAACTTGAATTGATTTCTTGGCCCCCTGGAGGTTTGAGTTATTGGAAGTTATAATATATATATATATATATATATATATATATATATATATATATATATATATATATATATATATATATATATATATATATATATATATATATATATATATATATATTGTTTAAGTGACATCGTTAATAATATATTTTATATTCAATTGATTAAAAACATCATGCTCGGCTATATATTATCTTTATTATTATATGGTGATATTTTGGCTTATATAGTATAAACCATTATCAAACTGAAAAAACTGTTATACAAAATTCATAAAAAATAAAATCAAAAGTGACGTCATTGCAATGTTGCAGATTTAGACTTAAATTTAACAAAAAGTGGTCTCCAATGGCGTGTCATCACTAAGTTATCATTGTTGCGATTTGTTGATAATAAACATAATGGACTAACCAATCAGACAAGAATTTTTTAAGATATGTATTTTGTCCCGTAAAAAATAACATTTATTTACACAAAGTTCAATAAGCTTGTGAATATCTACTAATGACAATTTACTTCGCATCTTAAGATTATCTTTATCTTTGCTTAGAATATCAATTATAGAAATTGTTGCTTTATCTAGTGGAATCAATGGATATAAATTAATAATATCAAACGAAACTTGAATTTCATTTTTATCTATAAATCATTCTTTAGCCTCAGATATGAATGAAAAAAAATTTTTTTGTAGTAAATGTAGGTTGTATTATTTCAAAAAGATGTTGCAAAAGTTTATGAGCTGGTTTACCAATAGTTAAAACTATAGTTTGCATAACTAACCTTTATCACTTTTATGTGCTTTAATGCATCCATATAATCTAGGTGGAACAGCGTCAGAAGGATATACTTTATCATAAGTTTTTTTATCAATTTTTTTTTCCTTTTTTAATTTACTGAGAGTTTGTTGAATTAAACAAAGAAAATTTTGTGTAGGATCGACAGCAGAAATAGTGCAGTTACCAAGTTGATCTTTGATTTTTTTTATTGCTGATTCTGAATCTAAAATAGCAAATCCACATCCTTTATCAAAAGGGTATATCTTTATTTAGTTCGAGTTTTTTAGTTCATTTAAAGCTAGATATTGATTTTTAGAAAA